CCCCCCCCCCCCCCCCAGTTCCGGCGTCCCTGGCTATCCAGTAGAACATAAAGTGAGTTTAGTTTAGGTTTCCTCCTGTAGTAATCGTACTGGATCAATAAGAGATGATCCTTACTGGACCTCAAGGTGGAATAGTTTAGAACTGATAGAGCTATCCAGTAGAAAGTAAAGTTAGTTTAGGTTTCCTCCTGTAGTAACACTGGATCAATAACAGATGATCCTTACTGGACCTCTAGGTAGAATAGTTTAGAACTGATAGAACTATCCAGCACAAATAAAGTTAGTTCAGTTCAGGTTTCCTCCTGTAGTAACACTGGATCAATAAAAGATGACCCTTACTGGATTTCTAGGCAGAACAGTTTAGAACTGATAGAGCGGATCAATATAAGGGATTATCCTTATGGACTGATCTGGGGAGAACAGTTTAGAACTAACCAGTACTCAATAAATGATCAACTTACTTTTCAATTGCGATGAAGCTCCGTCTCTCACCATTCTGAGCCAAACTTGCCGCTGAACGCAGCAGCTTATTGATGTTGTTTGCTTTCTCAATAAGAACAGAGAATTTACGTCGACCGACTGGCGTTGGTGCCAGATTGATGTGCTGGATTGTATGACAGCGTCCCAGTTTACTCACTGGTGTGCTTATTGCTGGGAGGATTGAATGTTTGTAACAATCATTGCTAAATATAGAAAAAAAATCATTATTTTCCCAATGTCTGAGCTTGGAAGCATTATTCAAGGTTTCACTAAGCACTATCGTGCAGGAGATGATGGTCATCCTGCAGTTGTCAGAATGACAAAATAATCTAAACTACACATTCTATTTATTTACCACAAAATATGAAACTACTATGTATAATAATGAAAGTAATTAGCATGCTGTATAGTGCTTAGTGAAACCACTTATAAATACTCTAACTCGAAATACCACCCAAGAATTTTTTACTCATTCATATTCATGGTACTCAACCATACAATTCATTTTGTCCCAGTTAAGTTGTATGTATTCATTATTGATTAACAAATTAATTAATTGAATTCCTTATGCAAATATATAAAGCTCAAAGCTGAACCCCAAACAAGTATTTTGAAGACAAACAGAAATTGTCTGCCCATGGATATATGTTGTGAGTAAATCAGACCAATATGTTACTTTGTATATATTTATCAGGCATCACACTGCTTTGCAGGAAACTAGAATATAAATCTGTTCTCAAATTGAATATCTATAGCAACGCATAACTCGCAGCTACGTAATCCAAATGATATTTCATGTATTTCCTTGAAAATATTGCTTCAAGATTGTTCTATATCCGCATAGCTTATGCACTAAATAATTTAGAGGTCATTAACTGATCAACTATACTAGTATATATTGCCCATACACCCTGCTGTTAATACACAAAGCTATAACAAAAGAGAATAATAAGCGAAAACAACCAAAGTTCTAGACAGCTCGACAGTGAAGCAGTGTACAATCTTAATCGTCCCCCACACATATCACAAAGAAATCTTTCAAAAAAATAACTCTAAGAGACTCTTCGACCTAATACAGGCAAATTCAGGCTTGATCACGATGAAGTAATATTCTCAAAGAACTAAATATTAAACGCGTTTGCCAAATGCTGATGTCAATATTGATGCGTTTCCGTAAGCTTATAGTTTCAACAGATGATGGTCAACTTTGGAGCAAGAAAATTAAATTACGTCTCTCAATTTCATTCGTTTGCCTTCAAATACAAGGCTACAAAATATAATGGAAATAATTAACATTGTTTTCTCGTTCTGATATTTAATAAACTGCAGGTTGACATTAGTGCTTCATAATGAAACTCGCCAATGAAGTACAAAATAAAGTAAAATTGAAGCTTACCAGTACAAATTATGTCGTTCAACTAACATATATTCGTCACCATAACCAATAAACTTCAAACACTTTGTACATACAAAGCATTCAGTATGATATTTTTGTTCGCCAGCAACCTAAGATTAAAATAAATTCAAATACTTGTTGATGGATGGATGGCTGTGTTTTGTTTTTGAGTGTCGAAAGGGTTAAATTTGAAACTTATATCACATGAACTCAAGAGGTTTCTCCTTGGCGAAATCAAAGTACGACATAAAAATATGCATATTAGTGACATTAGTGTCTTAATCAGTTTAGAATATGTCATTTGCGGCAGATTGAAGGCAGTTTGTCGATAAATCTGAGACAAAACAGTAACCTTACACTAAGATAAGTATCGAATTAGACTGAGACAGGATTTATAGGCAAATTATCTGACTATCATATGACTCAAATGAAAGCTGAACTTCTTGTTTACAAGCAGTTAAAAACAGAGATTTTGCAATCAATTATTCCAAAGGTATAAAATTTGCATTTTGTGTTGAAAATATACATAAACATGCTTTTTGGCTTGATATTACTGTAAACTGCTGTCAAGAATATTTAATGTGAACAAGTTATTACGAAAGTTTGTTTACGTCTGAAAGGCATAATAATTCACATCCTTTGAAACTAAACGACATCTTAGAAGATTTTATAGCCTAGATATACTTACTTCTTTCAAAAATATCTAAACATTCGTGCAGAAAACTATACTAAACCATTCTGAATTTTTCCTTGTATAAATATCAACATTCCAGAGTGTAATTTGTTACAAAATGAAGCTGAAACATTCTTTGAAGACTCTAAAAAATTCTAATTAGGCTCCGAAGAAAGTCCCTTTATTATCAAAAACCTTGTAAATTAATAAACTATCTAAAATATCATATAAAATAGCGTGATTCTTACCTGACAATTAAAATTGCCAAGTCCACATGATATGATATGATAGATCTTAGATCTAACTAAATTGTGGCTTGATTTTGGGGACAGATACTCAAAAATATAATCTATGTTCGCATTTAGTTCATACCATAACAGGTCCAGTGATTTGTTTAACACATCGTTGACAATGTTCGCCAAATTTTAGAATATAATCCTTCTTGCAATACAGAACATTATCGCGAGGCATATAATGGAGTGGTATGGTACTCAAACATTCCGAACACCTATACAGGTAAATAAAATGAATAAATAGGTTAACAAAGCAGGAAAACCCAAGATAACATTATTTAAACAACTAATACACAAACCTAAAGCAATTCCGATGCCATTTCAGCCCCAGCGCCGAATGCACGTCTTTTTGAATCGGGAATTTGCATCCGCTACAATTTACAGCTATAAAAACAAACAACAAAATCACGTATTTGTTACCCTAGGAAATGTGATAAAAATTTCAGGATATATTACCTTCCATAGCGCTCATGTTATGGATTTGAACATATATTTAAATCCCCTAAGCCGTCTCTTCGTGATCCGTCTGTTTATCCAGTCACTAGGTGGTTTCAAATTTCGCCGTCGATTTCAATAGAATCACCGAGGCATAGCTCCGGAAACAGGCGAGTTCTCTCAACGAGAGTGGATTTTAAAAAAGGCAACGTAAAACGTATTGCTACACTTGACATTGACTGCACGCAATTTATAAATCTAATTTATTAATTAAAACTTTAAGCCATAATAGGTACAACGTGTAAACTAAGTTTATAATTTTGTTTTCCACGAATTTTATTACAGCTTTGCAATTTTGCCCTAAAGTCCCTATATGTATTGATTACAAATTTGTTATAAATAGATATTAAAAAGATTACTAATTAGTTGTTCGACTAATTCAACTTTATATTTGACTCATATATAATATAGTCATATATACTGTAATAAGAAGAGCAAATTAGTCTGCTAACCCAGACCTCTATACCCAGACGTCATCCAACGCTCATAACAAGCATGCCAGGCAAATTAAACTAAATCTATTCCATATATTTATTTGCCATCAAATACAGACTACCATACATTTAAAAAAGTTTTCTCAGTTCTGATAACTGTTAGGTGATAGTTTCGACAACAAGTGACCCCCCCCCACCCCACTGCCACTTTTCCGTGAACTTTTCTCTTACAACAGCCCCCCCCCCTGATTCCGGCAACTGCCCGATGGAGTACACTAGTTTCACTGGTTCACATGAGTAACCACAATTCCAGTCAAGTCTCGATGTCTGTGACTTCAGTCTTTTCATTCTGATCAATTTCTTCCCGTCTCTTACGGCAACCCAACCCCCCTGATTCCAGTAACTGACTGATGGAACACAATACGCTAGACACTACACCCAAGCCAAGTATAAAAAACACGAGATTGAGCTGCGTGATCACAGTCCTGGTCATGTTCTTATGCACGTAGGCACCATCATTCACCACATAGTCACCAAAACCTATCGTTGACATGGTAACGAACGTGAAGTAGATCCCTTCCATTATCGACCAACCTAAATATAAATGTTTTTAATTATAGGAAATGGTTGGAACAATTGGCCGAATTTTAATATAATTACATACAACAGAATCAGATTACTTTGATAGCGCAGTGAGTCAGTGACACGAATGTATGATGACGTAAACGGATTTCTGGAACGAAATCTACAAACTGCTTACTAAGGTACTTTTTATGTGCATTGATGTATAAAATATAACGCGTGCTCTGATTGGTCGAAACCCGTGTTTGGATCAGACCATCCAAACACGGAAATTTAAAGTGAAAGTTTTTTTAATTTAAATTTTAACACGGAAAGTTGTTATTTTATAAAACAATTACTTTATGGTTTCCGTGTTTGGATGCCCTCATCCAAACACTTGGGAATGTTGCTGGAGTTAAGAAAAGCGCGCGAAATCACGAGCCGAAGGCGAGTATACTGTAATTCCATACATGATACTGCACAATTTAAGATACTGCATAATTGTATAATTCCATACAAGATACTGCATCGGGTGACTACAGGAGTATAACCGCATTATTATAATACTACAATCAACATGGCCGCCATGGCTTTTGTTGAGTTAGTTCCTCAGAAATGAGTGCAAACGCTCTGTAGAGAATGCGTATATTAGCGTATTATCCATCTGACAAACTATCAAGATAAACTATCTAGAATAACGTGATCTATACCGTCAATGGTTTTGGGCAGAGGTTGGGTTTTGGGAACAAATCATGTCTAATATTTTCCTAATAGTTCATCTAATGTCATATTTCTACACATTGACAGATCATCCGTCATGATAAACTATCCAGACGAACTAGCAAGAACAGCGTGACTATACTGGCAATAGTTCCGGGGACAAATCATGCCTGACTGATTTTGTTGCGAAAATCTGCTAACTACGGATAAAGCCAAATCATTGGGTTTCCCTGACAATTTAAAACACAGACAAATTACCAGATGTTCTATCATCCGTCTCCAGTGTTTGTTAGTACAAATCGACCTCAATGAGTTGCCGGAATTGCATGGAGAACATTGGAATTTTCAACAGAATGAAAGGCTAAGACCTATGGCTAAGACAATGGGCCATTATGATAAATGGAGAATAAAAATATAAAATGAAACAATACAAAACAATAAAATACCTTCAGAAGCTTTCGTAACGACCGCCCCTCCGAGCAGCATGAAAATCATCAGAACAAAAGTTGCTATGAAACATTTTCGCACCAAATTCTCAGGCTCTCTTTTTAACACTCTTCTTTCAAAAGCACGCAGGATTGCGGTTGTGGCCTTTGCAATGAATTCTCCCACTGACTTCAACATCATTGCAGTGATAGGAATCCCTATTAGACTGAAGAAGATGCAAAACACTTGACCTTGCCAGGTTACGGGGCTCAGATGGCCATAGCCTGTTGAGAAAAGAGAATTAAGAGGTAAGGAGAACTGAATGATATCTCAAACATGGTGGTCCAGCAGTGTAGGTAATATTCTTCGATAAGCTCTTGTGGTTTGTGTCTGAACTACATGAAAAAGATATCTCAAACGTGGTGGTCCAGTGTAGGTAATATTCTTCAATAAGCTCTCGTGGTTTGTCTGAACTACCTGAAAAAGATATCTCAAACGTAGAGGTCCAGTGTAGGTAGTATTCTTCAATAAGCCCTCGTGGTTTGTGTCTGAACTACCTGAAAAATATATCTCAAACGTGGTGGTCCAGTGTAGGTAATATTCTTCAAAGAGCATTCATGTTTAAACATATTCATGTTTGTATAAACAAATACATATCGCACACACGAATTTTGGAAAGTTTGGAAAGAACATTTCAAAACGAGATTTTCAGAATGTGGGGAACCTCAAACAGATTTCCAGGTCTGCAAACAACGCAAGGACGCTTACCTATAGTCGTAATCAAGACGAGAACAAAATAAAACGAATTTCCAAATGTCCACGGTAGTCTGTCAATGGTGGGACTGGATGTATCATTGCGCACGCTTTCCAAAAGTAAATTATAATCTTGTTTCGACATGTTGTACATCGTTTGGAAATCTACTTCCGTTGGTTCAGAAATCTTGCGTTTCCCCTCAGTAGCCCAGAAAAGCAAGGCGCCGATCAACATGACAGCAAGAAAAGCGGCGATCCGACATAACAGCCTTTTCGTACGAGATGAAAGCATTTTAAAACGTAGTCCGTACTGCTTAGACAGTAAGGCTTAGTATCTGTTTTTTACACTTTATCCTTAGACTTGATGATTATTTAGCTAATTTGCTTCTGTTGATTTGAGTTCGTAAGACAAACAGTTTTGTTTTATTTCGGGAAAACGGTGTTAATAGAATTGTGTATGTAATAACTCAAATCAAATTTGAATTGACAGCTGTTTAAGAACTGCTCTATAGCAGGTGCCAAATTGGAACAAGATGAATACATTATCAGTCTATTATGTATGCCACAGGCATCTAGCGTTGGATGAAATGCCTGCGGAGGAGGCCAGAGGAAGGATATATATACAGGGTGTCTAAAAAAAAAACGCTATGGAAATTAAACAGGCTGTCGTGCATCATAAACGTGGCTAAACAATTCAATTTTTACATAGTACGAAAGAACAGTTATTTAGCTTTTCTTTTAGCTCTTTCGTCCTATGGCTATGTAAAAATTGAATTGTTTAGCCACGTTTGTGATGCACAACAGCCTGTTGAATTTCCATAGCGTTTTTTTTAGACACCCTGTATATCAGCAAGTACCTGAAAAATATCGCAGCTGTCTGTGTTATTAAAGGCTGTTTTACACTGTCAAAGTTAGTGATCACAGTTTTGAAGGATTTGTAAGAAATGTTGAATTAAAATATTTCTTACAAATCCTTTAAAACTTACCTAAGCAAATTTCCTACTGTGATCACAGAAACCAAAAGATAAGCAGATGGTTGTCAACCTGCAGTTTAATATGAGAATGAGAAATTTATTTTCATTATATGTAGCAGTCTTGTATTTGATGGCAAATAAATAGAATTGAAAGATGTAGTTTAATTTTTCTTGTTCGTGCAAGAGCCAACATTTCTGTTGACCCAACCATCTGCTCCCTGGAGTTACTATAAATGATCTACGTTACAAGACTCACCGACATCATCTCTTTCTCTATAAGCATCACACGGCGTTTCTGTAGACTTTGAGAAACAAAACCTGACTTCACAACAAAAAGAAACGCTAAAATTTAATTCCTAACTTTACATATATACAAATTGAATTTAAAATGTCTCGAGACAGATCTGAACGGGTCTGCGTTGGTACTAAGTCTCCTATCTACAATCTTGGAAAAAATATCCAGACTTTTTGAAAAGTATATCCAAATTTGAAAAATTCCCTGCCCTCAGAACAATGTTGGTTCAAAGTAAAGTGGATTTGCAACACATTTCACCCAAAAACTAACATTGTATAGGGGAAGAGGGTAAAATACGAAAATTCTAATTCTATGAATTTTTTTCCAGGATTGTAGTTTGGTTCGCTTTATCATGTTCAACCCTAGCACAGAGTAGGTACATACAGAGGTCTCACTTCTGCTGGAAAACCGTAAGGTAGTTTTTACAAAAAGAGCTGGCGGTCATGTTCTTAACCAGTCCGGTAAAAAGAGGCATTCACCCCCCTGGAACATTAAATTTCAATATGTTTTCAGCGGGGGGGGGGTGATGGCCTCTCTTTATCGGACTGGCTAAGAACATGGCGGACTGAAAAAATTATGCTAAATTAACCTGAAGTGAGACCTCTGTATGTACTTTCTCTGTGACCCTAGGGGCGAGTCTCTCAACTGCTGTCAGTGTCTCGAATACTGCTATGTCTTTCATCCGTGTCATGTGACCCGGTGCTCTCGTCATCACTCAACGGTTCATACTGTGGCGTCATCATATTACTTGAATCTGCAGGCTGGAACCTGATTGGTGTAGAATCCGCTTGCTGAAACCTGATTGGTGTATTACAGCCAGAAGCAAATGTCACGGGAACTGGTGATGAACAATTACTGTTCGGTGCAGAGCGCACGTTTAGTGCAGAAAACGGGAAAACCGAGTGGGATACACGCGAGGATCCCGCGAGTTGTGTAGACGATCCCGCGAGTTGCGTGGATGAGTACGTGAACGAACCGAAATCCAGAAAACTTGATGAAGGTCCATCACTATCAGCTGGGGGTGAAATAGGGATGGTGTCAAGCGGGGGGTAATATGACCCGGATGATGATGTAATGATATGTTCAGGTGTAACGTCACAAGGTGTGACGTCATTTCTGGTGACGTCATTTCTGGTGACGTCATCCGGGATCTCGGCAATCTCCCCCTCCTCTAGTTCTTCATCACTAGATATCGCTTCCACTGTGATGTCGTATTTGCTACTTGATATTAGACCCACTGTTGTACCTACACTATCCTCAGGTGTACTTAGTGATCCAATGTTATCTATGTTCAGTCCAAAATATCCTGTTGTATCAACACTATTGTCGCTTGTAATTGCTAGATTCTCTCTGTTTAGCCCTAAATATTCCGTTGTATCCACAATATTTTCAGTTGTACTTGCGGTAATGTCTCTGGTTGACCCTAAATGACCCGTAATGTCAACGTTTGAGTCAATATGACTGATATCATCAGTAAAACTAATGGGAGACACCGTAGATGAATCGACAATATTGTCCTTATCGTTCAATGAGTGTCCTCCCGAGTTCCTCTCTGTCCTAATTTCACCCTCATCATATTTAGTCAATGACTCAGCTTCATTTCCACTCAAGTTGTCGTCTGTCACGTTATCGAAAATTGTCGCTTCATCGAAGTTACTGGTAGACGGTTCTTCGGAATGACTCGTGGAATCCCCGGACGATCGTCGGGAAAGGCTAGCCTGGTTTCTCAAATAAGTTGAATCACTAGGACATCTGTTCACTATACGTGCGCTATCAGGTAATTCTAATCCAAAACTGCTGGTGCGTGGCATTGCTTCATTGGCATTTTCCGCGCTGTTAGGTAAATCTATTGGGAAACTGCACGATTCATCCTCATTAGCATTTTCTACACTTTCACTTGTATCAGACGAGCTAACATCAGAAACATTGGGAACACCACTGCCAGTTATCACGTCATCTGGTAGCATAGCAACACTGCTAGTAGCCACGTCATCGCGTTGCTTGGCAACAATGCTACTACTCGCCACGTCATCACGTTGCTTAGCAATACTGCTACTAGTGGACACAGAGGAATTGAACACTTCAGATCCATTGTCAGGCTCGGGAGGAGAATGTTGAAACGTGCTTGATATGTCAGTGTGACTGTGTCGAGATACAATGTTGCTTTCTCCGACTGTTGAAGTTATATCATTGTTAACTTCATGAACAGATTGTTCAGCTTGTGTGGCTTGGGTTGTATCTGTTACACTCTCTATCATATCATCTGCGCTGTCATCCATGTCACTATCTGAAATATCTTCAGGTTGTACTCTTTGTACATCTTGATTTGAAGATGCCGCTTCCTTTGACGAACTGCTTCCTAGATTACCATGGTCTGGGCTTGATGTACTTTCTATAGTTGGATTCCAATCAGAACCTTCATGTACGCTCTCCTTATCCTCACGCTGTACCTCATTATCCCCATGTTCCTCCAGATTCCCAAGGGTAGCATCCTCTGCACTCGTTACCATTGTATCTCTGTCATTCTTTGTCTCGCAACCACTGTCAGCACCTTCGTCACATGGAGCCTTGGTCTCTCCTTCATTGCTGTCCACTCCTTGGTTCTCAACTTCATTGCTTTCTTCTTCCATGTCATTTTGTTTCTGGGTGGTTTGACTGTCTACGTGTTCCTCGCTACTTATGATGTGTTCATCTCCACTTATCAAATGTTCGTCGACGTGTTCATTTTGAACTACCACGTGTTCACCCTGACCTGTCACGTGTTCATCTTGATCTGTCACGTGTTCATCTTCACTTGACACGTGTTCATCTTCACTTGCCACCTGTACATCTCCACATGTTACGTGATCATCTTGTCTTATCACGTGTTCATCACGCTCTTTCACGTGTTCATTGCTACTCGTCACATGTTCTTCACTGCTCTTTTCACCTTCCTTACTCAAAGTGGCTACATCTTCCCTACCAGCAGACAGAGTCATCTCAAGATTGTCTTCAACTATATACGAAGCTTCCTCCTCTGTGTCGCCTCTGTGAGTACTCTCCCTGTCCGTGCTACTGTCAACACCATCAGTTGCATCAACTAAATATTCATCTCTTGTACTACTATCCCTCTCCCGATGCCTGTCATGACTCTGGCTCGCTTCAGAGTTTTCATCGTCCAATAGTTCAATCTTATGGCGAACTTCATCAATGCTAGGATCTGATGAGCTGCTGACCTCCTTGACGTTTTGTGAATCTCGTTCGATGGGCACCGTTCTAGCTGAGGGTGTGTTGTCATTACCAACAGTCATAGTGTCCACGACATCATCAAGTATTGTGTCAACTCTCTTCTCTTCAGCACTGTCTATATCACTTGGAACCACATCCTCAGTCGTAACCGCTTCTCTAGTTGTAACTGCTTCCCTAGTTGTGTAAGCTTCCCCAATCGTGACCGCTTCTCCAGTCGTGACCTCTTCCCTAGTTGAGTGAGCTTCCTCAGTATTTTCTGCATTGGTTGGATCATCTGTAAGGCTTCTAGTATCACTTGTTGGAACACTCGTTCTACTGTCCAGAGAGTCTCTCGGCTCAGCTGTTAAAACATCTCTCTCTGCTCCGTCATTACCATCATGCGTCAATACCTCACCAGTTGAGTACAAACCTTCTGTTTTGTCTTGACCAACATTATCCTCCGCAAGTCCTTTACCTTCCAGTACGCCCGTCATATCCGGCTCCAAATTGACCCTCAACTCGCCAGGTTGCTCATGAGCCGCACCTTGTGCACCCTCAGATACCCTATCATGTTGTATATTGTCCTCATTGCATACCGATGTATCCTTCACGCTATCCAACGGTGCTTCTGCTTCACCCTCTATAGTATCCACCTGACCTCTAGCATCCGTAGAAATTGTACCATGTCCTGTAATATCCATAGTTGTACTGTCATCCATATCCACACTACCCCTAACAACCCCACTATCCATCTTCTCTGCCACTTTAGCATCTTCAGAGCTGTCAACTTCACCACTCCGTGTATCCACTGCCTCACTCCTGTTACCCACAAGTACCCTAGATGTACTATCCATCTCCATCCCTGAGTACCCTGCTTCATCCTCGGTCGCATCATCATCACCTTCATGCCCACTAATAGTCTCATCTTGAAGTAATATGTGACTCGTGTCTTGCAAATGTCTATCATTTGAAGGTTCATTATCGTCGCTAAGAACACTTTCATCAAATCTTATATCTGCTGCACTGTCAGTATCACTCCAAGACTCATTCCTGTCTGGCTTCTCACTTGTGGACGGTTGTTCGATCTCTGAGTAGTCGGACACTGTATTGTCAGCTGCATTCTGGGTACTTTCTTCATTAGGAAACTCTGTGTCCACACTACCACCTCTTTCTCTCTTGGGTTCACCTTGTATACTTTCTAACTTTTCACCATCTTCAACCGGTTGCCCAAACTCTGAAAAGTCAGACACTGTACTACTGTCAACTCTATCTGCTGACGAATCGTAATCATTACGAATGCGGACATTTTCGTCAGCAGAGCGTTCAGAGTAATCGATGTAAGTACTATCACTTGGTATACACGTAGCATCAGTGTTGGAAAACTCGCCACTAGCGTGCCTTTCAGACATATCCTCAACATTATCACTGTCCAAATGCTGATCAGAGGTAGGGTCCTGGGACCCATATAAAACATCGCCACCACTATCAGATGTAGGATCCTGGATCTCGTACAAACCATCTCCACCACTATCACTGGTATCACCAGGAGGGAAATATCTCATTCTCAACTCATGATCTTCGTCATCCGGACTCTCAAAACCAAGGCTCGAACTTCCAGCAACCGACCTACTATCTTCACGACTTTCACAGGTTTCTTCGCCAGGGTAGGGGTTCGCATCTCTTGGATGTGGGGCAACATTTCCCTCATTGGCGTGGGGCTCCACATCTCCATCACTGGCGTGGGGCTCGACATCTCTTTCACTGGAGTTACTGGCTACTTTGGTAGAAATTTGTTCTGAGATTGTGTTAACGCTTGTAGATGGTGACAATGTTCCAGCGTCTAAACAATGAAACACGCAAAAAATGTATGGACTTTGATATCATTGAGACGTAATAATAAATATGGGCCTATGCACAACACTTCTATAATAATTGGTGGGTTTCAATACGCCTTATGAGTGGATAGTGGTCACACCAGATAGTTGTCGATGGCGGAAATTTTGACACTTGAAATTTTTTTGCTTGACTTCAGTCAGCAAAGGCCGTGACTATCATTAAACGGCATTTCCATAACACATAAACATTTCAAGAAGTAGTTATTGTGGGCAACGTAAACTATGAGACAATAGTGAGCTTAAGCAAATGACGTTTGTGACAAGACGGACGTCGACCGGAAGTAAAGTTGACGTTTTTCACCAATCACAGCCCTTGACCCAGTCTTCTGACGTTACTCATGCCGTTCGTGTTGTCAAAAACCTCACTTGCTTAAGCTCACTAATGACGAGGGTGACGGCAGGTAAGCAAACAACCCACCCACTTGACGTCCAAAAAACATTAGAGTTGGCAGAAAAGACAGGGTTGGGAAACTGAAAGCACAGGCCCAACTACTATGGTTAATGCGTTTCCATAATGGATAAAGTTTTACTACCACTAATAATAGATGAAATAAACTTCCATTGCATAATATACCTTGGCTGTTAGTTGGTGGTGCTGGAGATACATCATCACGTGGGTCTAAACTTAAACCATCACCAGTTTTCGAGGTATAGGAGGGATTGACGTGTCGCTGTATGTCCACAGGGGTGTCGAAACTAGGTTGATGAAGTTCAGCTTGCTCAATAAATGGTGACTTTGGTGTTTCATTGTTGTCAACTGGAGCTGGTGATTTAACAAGACAATGTCCTGATGGTCCCGGACTAACCGACTGTGGTCTTGAACTAACCGACTGTGGTCTTGGATTAATGGATTGTGGTCCTGGACTAATGGACTGTAGTCTTGGACTAACCGACTGTGGTCCTGAACTAACTGACTGGGGTTCGGGACTAAAAGACTTCGGGACAGTAGGATTTTGATAGCCTGTTGAGACACGTGAAGGCCCAGGTAGGACACTGGACTCCTCCGTGGAAGTGGGATCCGAAGCAGTACGAAATTGGTCCGAGAGTATACGAGAGTGTTCCAAGACAGCACGGGACTGCTCTGAGGAAGGCCGGGACTGTTCCGAGGAAGGCCGGGACTGTTCCGAGGAAAGCCGGGACTGTTCAAACGGCAACCTTGTACCATCACGGGCCAAGCGGGAAATGTTTCCAGAATATAATAAATCAGGACAAAGTCGGTCATGTTGAGATGTAAGAACAGGTGGGAATGGTCCTGGGTGGCTGCCTCTACCTTGAATAAGAGTGGAGGGATCCCTTGACTCCTGAATGGTAGGTTGATTAGGCAAAGCGTAGATGCTACCAGGTGGGTGAGAAAACGGGTAGGGCATTCCGAGAACCATTGGTGATGAGCGAGAGGTTCCAGAGAGATGGGGAAAATATGGTATTGGATGAGTAGGTTGGGTGGGTTGGGGTGTGCTAGGACGTACACCAGGCATCAGTGGCGGGGGGTGTGGGGATCTGATAATTGATGGTTCGCGGAGATTTCGCAGTTGGGTGGATGGGTCATTGGGTTGGGATGTGGGGACAAGACTAGATTGTTGAGGAAGAGGGGATCTGCTTCTGGGGGGACGTATGTGAAGAGATGGGTGCAATTCTAAAGGTGAATCTGGTGGCCTTTGTAGGTGGGAGGTAGAAGAGCCAAGTTGTGGCGTGGGACCTTGGGGAGTCGAGGAAGGTCTTGGGGTAACCTCTAGGGCCACTGCATGAGATAGTACAGATCTAGGACCGCGCTCTTGGGCCAGAGACAATGGGTCATCCTTAGGGTGAGACGATCTGGTATGTGGTTCAGGTGAAGAAGAGCTAGGGTGGGGTGTCAACACTCCAGGTTGTTGGGAATAGGAATGTGATATCACACTTGGAGGCGGGGTACGAACGCCCCCAAGGGGAGAACCAGATAGTCTCTTTTGTGGTTGCTGTGAATGGAGTGGGACACCTGTCTGCTTTAGCTGTACAGGTGGAGAAACAGTATTTAGTGGCGAGGAGGACTTTGAAGAATCCTTCACGATTTTTTCAGACGTCCACGGTCGGAATAATGTGTTGCGGTTTGACGGTTCAACCTCTCTAGAGGGAACTGGGGTGTTTTCTAACCCAGGTTGCTTTTGTTCTACCTCTCGCATGTTTCGTGTATCAACTCGTTGCACATAGGGTACTTCTTGAGAATATAACTGATGCTTACACGGCTCTGTACTTCTACATCCACAGGGAAGGAGATCCTGGTTAGGCCGTCCTATCAGATCTCTGGTTGGAGGGGTACGTCTTAATCCAATAGGACCATTGTCTCTCACTAAGGGAGGTGGAAATTCTTTTGGGCTGTGGGAAAATGTAGCTGTGGCACCATGGGTGGCGTCCCAAGGGTTGACCATCTCTCTAGGGATATCCTGGATATCACGTACCACCATTCGCCTATCATCAATGAGCCTAGGGTTAGATATCCCCTCGCCCCTAGCAGGTTGTGTTCCAGTAATTGAGAGCAAGGGTGGTGGTTGAGGGGGTGCAAGGCCGGATGAGATACCATGTGCTTGCGATCCAAATGTATCCTTTGGGCCAGATGTAACATGAAGTACCGAGGTGTTTGTAACAACACATGACTGACGAGTAAACTGAGGTTGGGGCCTCTCAGCTTCAGATATTTTCAGCGAGTCTCGCCCACGTTGTGATTCTCGCACACTCTCGACTATAGGCCTTGCCCCTGCCGCGACATTCATAAGCGCTGTAAACGGTTCATACGACTTAACCTGATCCGTGCCTGGATCCTTTGGGCTTGGTTTAGTTTGAGGTCGACTCGGTGAGGTAAGACGCTCGGTGCTACCCGATAAAACCCAGGAATGAAGATCGGTTAAGGAAGTTGAACGCTGTTGGTTGTTCATTGGCTTCGAGCTGGAGATACCTTGATCGGGTGTGCGTGCCCGTGGGTGGATGGCTGGGGTCTCCACAGACCGACATCGTGTGGAAGGAACGGACGAGATTAATTCGTGACCACTTTCCCTTCGTCTTGAAATACGTTCGGTGGGAACTAGGGGTTCCATTGGGAACATAAATTGTGGATGGGCAAATATTATCCCCGGGTGTTCCATAGGAGGCCACATTACTGTCCCTGAGTTAGCACGGGCTGCTTCCTCTCGTAAACGTGCGGAGTAGACGTGCTCCATACCTGATAATAGAAATTCTCTCAATGAAAAATGGTAATCACACTATAGGAAAATGGCAGAAAAATGGCAATCACACTTAGTATGAAGCCCCGTTCAAATGGGTATTTTTTCCCTGACAACTTTTCCTTGACAACTTTTCCTTGACAAGTTTTTATTTGCTCGTGGGCAAAAAATAATTATAGTTTCTTACTGGCTGAAGCATGGAAGAAGCGAGAAACAGATTTTTCACGCAGGGGGGAGGGGAGGCCCAGGGAGAGGTGCTATGCCCTTATATATCTTTGTCTTTTGGTGCAGGTGTGGTAGTTTCCACCCTCCCTCCCTTGTGGTTCGAGGCATTAGTTAGGGTTAGGTCTAGTATGTATAATGTGTGTAAACATTTCAGGGCTGCAATATATAGCGAACCGCGGGACCATTGGTCCCAGAAAATTTTTGAGGTTGGCAGAAAAAAAATGGAAGGTAAAACCGTAGAAGGTAAAAAGTCTTAAAGAAAGAAAGTGCATTTTACTAATTTTAGTGACAATCATGCTGTACTTAGTTTACGGCAGATCATGCATATAGATAAAATTACATTAGAAAAATACATAAGGGCTCGTTTATAACATAAAAGAATATTTAATCGGTAGCCATGTTGGAATATTAAAGGTCTATTTTCAAGACCAAAATGATGTTTAGAATTTGTCTAGAATAAACTGAATTTTACTTAGTTGCGATAAAATTTAAAAAGCAATAAGATTTGCTGTCCTTTGCTAGCAAAAAACGTTTTCGTTGGCCTTGTGGTCCCAGAAAATAAAATATTTTTTGCAACCCTGAACAATTTATTAATAAAGGCACTGCTTCATTTGCTGTTGCAGTTCGACTACACTGCATGTTGACTAGACATGTTATATCATACCTGGGTGAAGGTACTCTACGAACGGTGGGTGAAACATAGGATCAAATCCAGGTCCGTGGGCGATTGCATACATTTCTGGTGGGAAGTGGGGAGGTCCAATGTGAGGAACGAACTGGTGCATTGGGATACCAGGTGGGTGGAATGAAGGATGTGGGAGTCTTTGCGTTCGTACCTTAAAAATAAAGAAAAAAATATTTCTCAAACTCATTAATAATGCATGAGCAAAACACAAAAGAAACCAGCACCGTTCTGTTGTCTTGATATCACGAAGATAAACGCCCATAAATGAACTCAGCTATCGCCTTCAATTCCTCTTCAAATACAAGTACGTTTAAGTAATATAACAAACTCGAAAGCAATTCACAACCGATGCATTAAACTATGTGGAAAAACGGCCGTACCTGTTGTATACTGGTTGTATCTGGGGGTATACAGGGTGAATAGCGGTTAAATATCCCTATAGCTTCATTCTGTTCAAAGGTTGGCAATTGTGGGTCTGGGAAACGAATCTTCTTCAGTTTTTCCTTTTCCTTCTTGTCACCAGGCTCTTCCGCGGGGTTCTCCACGCGACCTACACAAATAAACATAATATACACCCTTCCAGAAAGTATGTCATTTTGGCTATAGAACCTCGTTTTCGTATATTACATTACGTTATTATTCAGCTCACTCCCCATTGGGGCTTTTCAGTGACCAATTACATCAAGTATTACGATTATTTATGTTACTTACTTAGCCTGGACTATTTATCTTTACAACAATTGATGTAATATATGAACAACGAGAGCGAGTGTTTCACCGGAATATCCAAACACGAGAAAACAATGTATGAAAACACGAGCGCGAAGAGCGAGTGTTTTCATACATTGTTTTCGAGTGTTTGGATATCCCGGTGAGACACGAGCTCGAGTTGTTTATATGGCTTCTCAAATGAATCGAGACGTAACAGAATGTTTTCGTTTGCTGATTTGAATAGAATTCTTAACCAAGCATAACGTAATTAGGAATTCTATTCAAGTAATTTTGCATGCGTAATTAAGATATATGATGAAAACACTAATGACTTTCATCAAGTTTCACCGGGTTATCCAAATGGCATCTTGTGATCAAATAGGTGATTATCATTGGCTGAATCGCTCATGAATTATTAATAAATTTGAGAAATTACTTTCCTAACTGTGTTTTTATCCTAACCCACCCTGTCAACTTGCCCTGTGGGAGGAAACCGAAGCACCCGGAGAAAACTCACGACTTTCGGCAGAGTGTTGACTGACTCTCTTTGAGAATCGAACCCACGATCTCAGAGGCGAAAGGCGGTTGCTCTGATGACTGCGCAATCGAAGCCCCCATATGTGAGATTAGATTCAATTGCTTGTTGCATATGGAATCTATGTTAATCTTAAGCATACCTGCATTTTCAGCAGCCGCCCGACTCCGAGCTAGATTGAGTAACGCCTCAGAATGTCTGCCTGCCACTCCTTCCATAGTCAGTGGTCTATATGGGGCACTTGGGTACATTATACCACTTGGAGGGTTTGCGGCGACCTTTTGGGGTTCGGTAGTACTTGTGAGGTCTACGTTAGGTGTACGAGGACAATGGGTTTCGGTTTTGGTTGAATTTTGGCTCAACAGACAGTCGGATGACGTGCCTGTTCCCTTGACAACAGCTTGTGATGTCGTAGTAAGACTAGATGAGTGACCTACAAAAGAACAAACTTGTAGAGTACGTGTGTTACTACGAGGACACCTACACTAACTTTATTTATACTGAATAATAGCTCTATCACTTCTAAATTGTTCTTCCTAGAGGTCCAGTAAGGATCATCTCTTATTGATCCAGTGTTACTACAGTAGGAAACCTAAACTAAACTAACTTTATTTATACTGGATAGCTCTATCACTTCTAAATTGTTCTTCCTAGAGGTCCAGTAAGGATCATCTCTTATTGATCCAGTGTTACTACAGTAGGAAACCTAAACTAAACTAACTTTATTTATATTGAACAGCTCTATCAGTGAGTTCTAAACTGTTCGTCCTAGAGGTGCAGTAAGGATCATCTCATATTGGTCCAGTCTTGCTACAGGAGGAAAACTAAACTAACTTTATTTATACTGAATAGCTCTATCAGTTCTAAACTGTTCGTCCTAGAGGTCCAGTAAGGATCATCTCTTATTGATCCAGTGTTACTACCGGAGGAAACCTAAACTAAACTAACTTTATTTATACTGAATAGCTCTATCAGTTCTAAACTGTTCGTCCTAGAGGTGCAGTAAGGATCATCTCTCATTGATCCATGCAGTCTTACTACAGGACGAAAACTAAACTAAACTAACTTTATTTATACTGGATAGCTCTATCAGTTCTAAACTGTTCTCACTAGAGGCCCAGTAAGGATCATCTCTTATTGATCCAGTGTTACTACAGGAGGAAACCTAAACTAAACTAACTTTATTTATACTGAATAGCTCTATTAGTTCTAAACTGTTCTTCCTAGAGGTAGGGATAATCTCACTGGAAGCATTCTTCTCACATGTGACTGAGATGAAACTATAATGAGTGTATTATAGGAATCAGGGGTGAAAGATACGTGCACTATTAAACCACTGTGTCACAAAAAGTCAACGGACAAGCAATTTGTGGTAAATACCTGTTATATGTAGCCCTTCAGACGCGGTTGAGGATACAGGAATTCTCACGCGACTTTCCATTGGGGATACTTGTGTACGTGCATGTTCTCGGGATGCGACGATACCCCTGACTAGTTCACTTTGTCCCTGAGGTTCTACTGTATCCACAACGATGATTCGTGTCTCATCCGAACCTACAGTGCTCATATTCGATTGATCAGCGGCTACCGGGTTCTCTACTTCATGCAACCTTGTACTTGATGGATCTTCAGGCTGGCCGTGTAGAGGTTTTCCGTCAGAGGACTTGTTTCGACTGTTTCGTTGGCTGCGTGAAATTCGAAGAGTGGGAACGGTTTCCGATCGTCTTTCAGCAGCCTGGGATCGAGTCTCCCTAGCGTTCTCCTTGCTTCGTGCGATGCTCGGCCTTTCTTCGGAAATGTCGTAATTGTCATCGGAAGCCTCCGACGCGGAAATCGTCTCTTCGGATTCTTGACGTTGAACAACCTAAGAGAAAATATTTATCAATTATTGGACAAGGTTGGGCAAAATATCGTGATTTGTCGGTGGCGAGCAGATCAATTATTTGCCGATGCCGAAGGCAGAGGCAAATAATTGATCTGCGAGCCACCGACAAATCACGATATTTTGCGAGAACCGAGTTCAATAATTGTTTTATCATTCACTTATAAAGCTTCATCTTATCTTTCGTTTAATATAAGTTCGCCGTCTCTCTTTCTTGCTTCCGCATAAAACTTGCGAAGGACGTTGGCAAGTGTTTCTTTTGAGCCAACTAGATCGTCTTCGACTTCGTTGATTTGTCTTGCTTCTAATACTGGCGAAAGACATTGACGGTGGTTTGAGTCGCTTTTTTGTTTTCCGCGTTTTTTTCTTAAAGTATAAAGCAAGACAAGTCATTTTCCGAAAGTTCAGCAAAGCGAGCCGCCATTGTTTACAAAAATTGAAGGCATTACATAGTACACAACACCAACACAAAAAAAAAAATATTACTAAATTACATTGGTATCGAAGGAACTAGATTCTGTTCCGAAATATCACTTACTCGAACCGTCCTGACCGCGTAGCTCAGTTGGCAGAGCATTGGGCTAGTATTCCAAAGGTCGTAGGTTCGATTCCCACCGTGGCCGGGCATATTTTTCAAGCTCGCCCGGTGTGGATATACACTCAAGAGTAACATCACAAAAAACAATATCTTGAAAGCAATCAAAGCTGGTACCTTGGCAGCATTGTGTTCTGCGATGACGTTCTCCAGGTCTAGTTTACGTTTATAATTGAAATAGAAATTCTTGCATTGAGCTTCTGTCTTTGTTTTCACCATCTGTGATATCGCGGTCCAGTTCCGCCCGTGAAGACGTAAGCCTTAACAAAATGAAATGCGGAAAATATAATTATCAAGGTACTATCTTCCCAACGAAGGGCCTTCGCTCGAAACATCGAAGTTCTCCTTGTATTTTTCAGGTAGTTGTATCCCTATCAATCCGAAGCTTTCTCATTATTGCCACTACCTAGTACGCTGGCCCTACCTACAGTACACTGGGTCCAACAACTTATGGTTGCCAGACATTTTTTTTTCTTCTATTAACTTTACAATCAATAACATATATTAACAAATGATTGAAGGAAAAGACAACAGATCTTAAATAAGATCCAATTAAGTCCCACCAAAACTATTTCTACTAACATGCATAACATTTACATGTTTATTAATCTAATTAACACTTTATCTGGCTAGAACCGTCTTTTTGTCTTAACAGAGTATAAATGATTTTTAAGTCAAAATATCCCACTTTGCATTTAAAGAAAAACGTTATGTCCTTTATTTCAAACCAGTACGATATTGGGATAAGGTTTAGTCTTTTCAGGCGTTCCACGTATGTTAACCTGTAGTCTTGCAGAATAAATTTAGTCGCGCGTCGTTGTATTCCCTCAATACGCAGTAGGTCTTTCGACGTTGTTTGTGGTGCCCAGAGTTCACTACCATAACATAACTGAGCTCGAACAAGCGATATTTTTTTTTAACAGCTTTATTAGGAACTAAATATATTACATTAATAACGTACAAATACAACAAACATGCAGTTCCTAAACGGGAAAATAGCGAATGGGCCATAATAGCGTCGGGAATTTACATCTACATATATATGTGTGCATATATATAATGTGCGTCGGGAATTTACATCTTTCCCTGAAGTTTAACCTGTTTAGGCACAGATTTAGCACAAATACTGTATACTCAGTTGGTCTGCTGAAATTCTTATCACCAGGTTGTGCTTCCACGAAGAAAATTATTTTCTTCAACCCTGACTATAGTAGAGCAATGATCACCCTCATATTTGTTGAACCTGGCCGAGATTCAACACTGACCAGATTAACCCGCTGATGACAACCTCGGATACTCTGTCCACTACATCTATGGTACTGACCTTCAATGGCTATTTCTCGTTCATTCTTAGACCAACGTGGCGTTTCCGAACCTCCGGCCTCTGCAGGTCAGAAAAATATTAATGTCATTTAGTATATTATACTATTATATCAGTGGAGATATTTAGTTTCCACATCAACAGTTTCAGTCATGTGATATCATACGTTTCGCGCTTGGTGGTCAACTCCAAGTGGAAACACATTTATTGGATCGAGTTAAATATTCATTACAAGTATTAATCTTGTGTTTGGTATCAAATATATGCAATTTAAAGTGCCTATGACACGAAATTTCACCCCAAATGTTTATGGTTGCATTGCAAAGATCACTTAAAATGACTTAATAATTTCTTTTATAGAATTTTGGTAACTTGCTTCCTTTTCAAGATATTCAACTTTGTTTCATATCACAGGTTTGCCATCACATCATTTGCAAATATCACCGGTGTGACATCACATCGCATAATGAGTTTTCAGAAAAGTATAGTTTTCTTGACGAATACGCATCTAAAAAACTTAAAAATTGCCCTTGTATATGTATTAATTTCATAACTGGTAATTAACCCTCTGTATTTGTTTGTAAAAATATTTTATGAAGGTAAAATATTGCGTTTTCAAAATGTCATTATGCGATGTGATGTCACACCGGTGATATTTGCATAAGAAACAAAGTTGAATATCTTGCAAAGGAAGCAAGTTACCAAAATTCTATAAAGGAGATTATTAAGTCATTTTAAGTGATCTTTACAATGCAATCATAAACCTTTGGGGTGAAATTTCGTGTCATAGGTACTTTAACGAAATTTACTTGCTTCCACAAGGCATAAAACGGCAATATGTGTAAACGAGATCACCAAGCGTTTCCCTATGTATAACCAGGTGATCTCGTGTTCGTATTTTAGCCAATCAGCGCTCAGAAAGGGTTGTCCGAATAGAAATCCATTTTGATGTATTCAGTCAATTATATCTTTCGTTATTCTTTATGAAACTAGTTGAAATTTTGTAATTATGTTTGGTTATGAGAACTATAGCTCTGACAAAAATATGGAATCGAAATAAAGTATATTACTGGAGATATTCAGTTGTTTTAATCATAAAATGGATTTCTATTTGACAACTAGTGCCAGTACTTTTCCGCGTATCAAGATCATCTGGAAGGCTTGAGTGAAACCCACCTATATAAAAGGTCCTACCTGGTTTGTTTCCTGTCAGTGGTGCGGTGATCTTGGCAGGAGGAATGATACTGGTGGTGATAGGGACACGTGATGAACTCCCCTCCGATCCATCACTATCCATCTCAAACGTTTCTTCATCCTCAATGTCACTTTCCGAATGGTATTCTTCAGAGCTGCAAAATACGTGGTGGACTGGACATTATTTTCTCACTCAACTGCCAGTTGACCATATATGGAGCACGGTCAGTAAGATCCATACACAGCCAATTCAAAAAAGGTTGTCCTTCGTAAACCTTAAACTCTAAGTGCGCAAGTTTCAAGCTTAGTAGTTGAATATTGCAGCTATTTGCAGGCCTTAAAATATGGGTCGGTCACGGACATTGTCCGACCCATTCGTGAAATTGTCCGACGTAGTGAGGAAGCCACCGGACATTCTGTCCGACATAAGTGAAACTGGGGTTTACTGTTTGTCCGACCCGAGTGTATTGGTGTTCTTGCAAGCAAGTTAATTTTGGCTTGGAAATAAGTATGAATGACACAAATTATTTAATATCTTCACAACATTTACCGTTCAGAATTAATACATTGTGCTGATATTCATTTGTGTCATTCAGATTGACATTGTGCCGATATTCATTTGTGTCATTTGTCTGAAGATCATCGGACATATGACCCAAACTCAACGTCATCGGAGGTTTTGTCAGACGGCCCTGTAAAAGATATTTTAAGGCCTGTATTTGTGAATGAATTGTTCTCCTAAGGAGATATTTACCTTGTCTCTAGAAATGGGCCCCATATATGATTTCTAAACTGATTAAATGATGCTCCCATAATCCCATTATGCTTTGCACGCTTAGAGTGTAAGATTTGCAATGGACAACCTTTTTAGAATTAGCTGTATATCTGGAGCAAGAACTCGAGTCAAAAAAGTGAAGCCAGTTTCGTGTTAACCGCGCAGACAAAAACAATAAAAAGGGACTGGAACCGACGTCCAACCATTGAACTATAAATAAACTGGAAGGCTAACTGCTATGATGAAGGCCTATGATTTGATGAAGCCAAAATAGTTTTTCTGAGTTATGAGCAGAAATACTTGACCCCAAACGTCGGGCTATATATCAAATTGAAGCTATTGAAAATTGCTATTCGGTGTGGAAATTTCAAGACTTCAGCGAAAAGAAAAATATTTAAAAAATACAAAAACAACTGCAAAACGGTAAATTATCGGTAATTATGTTTGTAGTTTTTCAATATTTCCCTTTTAGCTAAAGTCTTGAAATTTCTACACCAAATAGCGTTTTTCAATAGCTTCAATTTGATATATAGCCCAACGTTCAGTGTTGAGTATTTCTGCTCATAACTCAGAAAAAACTAAAATGCACTGGCTTCAATTTCCCCT